AAGATATTTTACATGAAACCAGCTACTAACCGGCACTTAATAAGTGGTCACTAGCCGACTACTAACCGGCTACTAGCCGGCTAGTGACCAAAAAGTGGCTACTAGGCGGTCACTAGCCGGCTATTAGCTTGTCTCTAAAGCAGACCTACTTTCTCGAGGTCCCAAACCGGCTTCTAGCAGGCTACTAGCCGGCACTTGAAAAGTGGTCACTAGACGGCTACTAACCGGCTGCTAATCGGCTAGTAGCCACAAAGTGGCTACTAATCGGCCACTACTAGCTATTTTCCGATTAGTTGCAGTCAAATAGTCACAGCAGGTCACAATTTAACTTTAATTCTTTCTTACAGCAGGCAACTAGACAAGGTTCTGAGAATATTCCGGTAGACACGTCTTCCGCCCCGAGGAACAAATTTGGCTTCGGTAGACTTTCTGAATATGGGGCAGTTTTGCTCAATTGACCACGCCCTTTTTGACGCTTTCGTGATTTCTAACCCCACATATCTCCACTTTTGATTGGAGGAAGTATATCAACTTGGGTATGAAAATGATCAGAATCATCACATTGAGTGGGGTAGAGCATAGTTTTAAAGTCTACAGACTTCAGGTTGTTGAGTTCTTAGGTCAAAACCTATTTGTACGCTCTCGCGAGTCGAAATTTATGTACTTATTACCTCGGGGCGGAAGATGTTTTTACCGGAATATTCTCAGATCGTTATTAGGTTGCCTGCTGTAAGAAAGAATCAAAGTTAAATTGTGACCTGCTGTACTATTTGGCTGCAACTAATCGGAAAATAGCAAGACACAACTTTTGCGAACATTGAAATTAATTAAGTATGAACATGTGGCAGTATCTAGATAGCCCGACCCCTGTCCGCGGACAACTGTCCACGAACAACTGTCTACCAGATCATATTACTGCATAATAACAGTATCCCCTGAATCAAGCAGGGTTCACATCATCGCACGCGAATTTCAATCAGCGGTGGTGTCAAGGCTTATGAAACGATTAAGCAACCTTACGAGCAGGGAACCAGGGACATAGATGCGTTACACCCAGGACAGGACATGGAGCTCTTTAGGAGGTTTTTCTGGAATAGGAAGTCTCGAGCATTCTCTAAGGAGGCCGTGGGTCCATTAATTTCGTCCATTAGACAGAAGAGTACCATGTCAGGAATATACTACGCTACAATCAATATTATTCGTAACTCATTATATCCGAGGGACCACATTTGAATCGTAATCAATAGTTTGATTATGCTAGTCGTAACTAATTGCATCCAAGATACCATACATACCATTCAATTTCATAACATTTGCGGTCATATGATCTGGTAACCAATCAACTATTCACAAACACCTGTTGCTTGATTCAGGGGATACTGTTATTATGCAGTTATAACATGATCTGGTAGACAGGTGTTCGTGGACAGTTGTCCGTGGACAGTTGTCCGTGGACAGTTGTCCGCGGACAGGGGTCGGGCTATCTAGATACTGCCGAACATGTGGGGGTGGGCTGGTTTGAGCTTCTGAATGCGAGAAACGTTCCTGGGATGTCTCGACTTCTCGAGCTAAAGTCGGAGTATTTACTTGTCAACTTACATGTCGTACTTACTGGTAAAACTGGAAAATTAAAGTGATTCATTGGAAAATTAATTTATTCAACTCGCACAACGTATTGAGCAACTTTTTGAAATGGTTAATCTCATTATGATAAGGGACCATTGTACCAAACCAGATTAGGATTATTTAAACTACTAAGGAAACGGAATGTCAAAAAGTAAGAGCTATTTGTGATTCCAGTATTACTATTACCAGTAATTACAGCTATAAGTTAACCTCAACCTTTGCACGTAACATCTCGGATTTTGTTCCGTATTTTAACTTCTTCGTCTCCAGCAGCCCCCCCCCCCCCCCCACATTACCCGTGAGCTTGTGAAATACGAATATGATCCGTATTTTTGTTCAGTATAGTAACTGTATTACAGGATTAATGCTTTATTTCATGCCATGAATTTAGTAGCTAATGATCTATCCGACAGCCGAATTAGCGGTTTCGGACAGAAGTAATTTTTGGCGACATCTGTCCGACTTTCGGATCACAATTGTAATTTCGGATCACATTCGTATTTCACAAGCTCACGGGTAATCTCGTGACGTTGCTCCCACGGCTGCCAGACCTTGGGTCAGAAGTGATATGACTACCATATACGTCATCAAGTAAGTAACATGCAAGCTTGAAGCTTGTCTCGTATAATTAGTGATTTGATCCATGGATTGAATATAATTGAGCTGGAAATGGGCTAGATCTGGGGTAGAGTTCATATGACAACTCTGTACATAGAAGCTATAAATTAAGAAGTGAACATGTTTTAAATTGAGACAATGTATTGGTTGGTTATAAAATGTTATTAAAATGTTAAATCGATTAATGATATAATACTTCAGAATACAACAAATTACTCAATATAATTACCAAAGTATTTCGCAACAGCGAACAATGACTCAATCTTTGTTGGGTATGCCGTGTAGAAAGAACAAAGGTCGTACAGAATACTGCTGGAAATCCTCTTCTTTTTGGAAGGAGTCTTTCCAACAGCAAGCCGATCCAGATGATAATCTGTAACAACCTGTTGTTCCTTAATAGCACGAAAATATTCTTGAACAGAGGGCTTTGGGCGATTCACTCGGGTTTTGAAACCTCTTTGAAACCTCTCCGAGGGAGCTCCGGATCCTGAATAATACTGGCGAAATGATTCCAGAACACCCACATATCCTCTGGATATGTATGGTGTAACTTTGGGGAAATATCTTCTTCCATCTCGGTCAGTCTTCCCATCAAAGAGGATAAATTGTTCGTCTCTTCTTGTAGATGTGCAGCTGGGAGGAAGAACGAATTCAAGAGAAGTCTTCGACTCGGTATGTTGGGCAGATCCGGAGGCAGAAGCTCTGGCTAGTTGGACGACTTTTCCTAGGGATTCCATATTAGGTAGCGTCTGGTTTACTTCTGTTGAAGCATCAGCAAGGACTTCTGATATCAGGTTCTGAGTCGCCGACAGGGGTTGTTCTGCAGCCTTCCTCTTGAGCGTTGTAAGGAGTTCGAGTCTCTGTGGGGTAGCCGAATCTGAATCGTGGTTGTGTGGTTTACGTCCAATGGAAAGAGTGTTGTCTGTGAGAGCGAGGTAACAGTGGCAGGGACATTTAAGAGTTTTGTTCTTCTGGCAACGCCAAGCAGAGGAGAGGACGCTGTCATCAGATTTCTTCCTGGTGTAGATATATCCGTCAGAATCAAGCACTTGTTGACATCCTTGATCCTCTGAAACCATTTAGGAACTTGGAGAAGGTAGGCATGACTGTTGATAGAATGCGATACCACTACCTTCTATCTTCCAGTATGTATACCTAAGAACACTTTATCGGCTCACTCCCCTTACATGCCTTTGGCACATCCCTTGATACGAGAACCCCCCCATAAGCAAGAGCTCCCGTCCCTTATGTTGTCTACGAGTCGAGCAGTCAGATCATGTTTACTTCTTAATGTACAGCTATGATTTACAGAATTGACATGTGAACTCTACCCCAGATCTAGCCCATTTATGTCATATGTGTCAATTATATTCAATCCATGAATCACATCACTAATTATACGTCACTAATTAGTGATGTGATCTGACCCCTCTTGGGGGCCGGATCAGTTCTGACCCAAGGTCTCCCAGTGGCTCCCACTGTCCTAATCCTGATTTGATCCATTGAGATCCGATCCATCGATACGTGATTGACTATTTGAGGACAGGATCGTGCTAGCCGTACACTAACAAGCTGTAACAGGCTGTCGATCACATCACAGCCTACAGTGCATATAAGAGAGCGGTATGGGAATCAGTTATCGCAATCCAAAAACGCAACCAATCTTCAGTTTACCCCTCGACGCAAGCAAGGCTCGAAGGACCATGTCCTGAACTGATTTATATATAACATTCGTCCAATATATCGACATCAAATGAAAATAAACTATGGTAGAGTTCAGCTCAGATCATATATCAAATTGGAAATGTTACGTATACAAAGTAGCTAGTAACAGTTCAGATCATGTCTCTAATTGGAAATGTGTCGTATTGAAATTATATCACAATTCCGGACATATGTCTTTTTTTCTGATAACTTGAGTCGGACAAGAGTCGCTGTCGGACAGATGTCGTGTTACCGTAGCTAATTCTTTCCAAATTTGCGATTTCATTGGAATACATTTTAGTAAGGTCCGGGATTAGAAGTCGGTAAATGTAGCTTCGCTGACTCACAATCTGCGACGTCGTCGTGACTTTAATTTCCGCTCACTGAAGCACATCTCACAAAACTTGCTACCTATATTCAGTTTAGCTGTATGTTGCCAACTTATAACCTCTGATCCTACAAGCTTTCTTTAATAGTATAGTAGCTAACTTTGAAATAGAAAATCTTCTGCATTATGCCTTGCAGTTGCACGGTAAACCGAGATTAAGAGTGTAGCGTAGGAGCGACACAATCGCCCGTGTCGCTCCTGCACTGCACACACTCACACTAACCTGGAGGGGGATATTTAAAACATACAAGTGATATGAAAAGGATTTTATTAGCAGGAGCTTTCAAAATACTTGTGTAAATCGTCTTCAGCTCACACTGCACACTAAGCTCGCTCCTGATCAACCGAGCACTTTATGTCCTTATTAGCACAAAAGAGTATCTCTCGCATCATTTCAGTGTCAATGTTTAACTATACTCACAACCGCAATTAAAATTAAATACATTTATTGTGAAAATATTATTAGTTCCACTATTCTCCCCTAACTTCCCAGTTCATCCGATCGGGCAGTAGTAAAGAACAAAATGTATCTTACATATTAAATATTAGCACGATCAAGTGATAGGGGATGAAATATATCATTTGCTGTTTTACGTAACAGATTAGTACGTAGATTACATTTACAGATGAGTAAATATGTCAATGACAACATGTACTTTTTCAGCATCCGGTCGGAGTTGGGCCTGCAGGAATGAACCCGTTTCTTACTGATTACGAAGTCAATGTTGGGACTGAAAGATCTAACCTGTTTCTTACTGATCACGAAGTCAATGTTGGGACTGCAAGATCTAACCTGTTTCTTACTGATCGCGAAGTGATTGTTGCGACCGGATGGATTGGTTGTCGGTCACCGGATTGTTATATGTTATATGTTATATGTTATGCAAATGAATCCGTTTCTTGCGGATCACGAAGTGTGATGTAATCTCGTTATCATTTATACTTTCAATCTGTAATCTTCCGTAATCATTTCTATGAAATTGTCTTTAGTTATTTAGTACATATTATTTGTTTATGTACGAAATTGTTTTTAGCATTTATGAAAGAATCATTTGAAAATTATTTACATGCAATTCAAATTGTAAAACTATCTCTACTATAATTCTAGAATTATCTTTGTACATTGTACGACCGTCCACGTGAAAATTTTTAAAACGACATTTTTATCGGTTTTGTGGTAATTATACGTTGTGGTAATTATACGTTGTGTTCATTGCAAGCTATATTTTAATGGGCTGTATACTCGGTCGTGACAGATATTTTTTGATGCGATAAAAACTGACTAAAAAGAATACTATTAGTTTCCTTTGTGTGACCACGGGCTTTTTAGTTTCTTTATAATATACAAAGAATACTTATATTTTTATGTAATCCTGTTGTAATTCAAATTGTATTTCAATCGTAGGATTTTTAAAATTTCTAATTTCTTATTGTACCACAATTCCTGTATTTCTGATTTCATCGTCTAAAAACTTCTTGGAATAGACATAAACCCTCAAATAGAGACCAATCATCGCACACGATGTACGTGCACCCGGGGTTAAATACGACGCTATTGTCAGCACTGCGCGCGCGCACACGTACCATCTTATGTGTGCTGATCTGTATGTGCCTATCCTACTTGTGAAACAAGCGCGTCACGCAGTACGCGTAGGCACATGGCTATGTGAAGCAGATTCCTAGTTCTTGCGCTTAACTTGCGCGTTACCAAATAATCCAAGATATCCCTGTCAGGATCCAAGATTTTCCTACTACCAGTATGGTAGTATGGACTGTTTGGTAGTATGGTAGTATGGTAGTTGCAGGAACGTGCGAATATCTATATGTAAATATTACAATAGCGTACATGGAATCGTAGCTTAGTTGGATAATCCGTCAGTACTACACTAGCAGATCGCGAGTTCGAGCCCCGGAAAGGAATTCTTTCACAATCTTTTGGCAATTATGAATAACTATACTAATGAATTAATAACTATACTAATGAATAACTAAACCTCTGTAATATAACTAGCAAAGTAAAATGAAATCGTTATCCGGCCGCGGAGCGGCCGAAAAATTTATGGTAGTCGTTTTAAAAATATTAAGGGGTGCACCATAAAAATAAACTTGCCCGGATTTAAAAAATTTTTGTACCATTGTTTTCTAGAGACTGTGAGAATTTTCACAATACCAAATTTGTCATACCTTTTTGGAAAGATCAGTGAGTTTCGCCTGGGTGCCATATTTGATGGTGCGCGGCTTTTGGAGCAAAATTAGCTGTAAAAGTCGCGTAATTTGACCAAATTTGACCAAATTCGTTGATTTTTGTCGTATTATTTGAATATATCTTCAGTTCCTTGAATGATATCATTCTGAAAATTGGCGACGACCTTCCAATATGGCTTTCACAACTGTCCGAAAAATTTGGTGGATATCGGACTTGATGTAGTGATCAAAATGGGGCAAAATACGCTGCTTTTAGCTGTAACATAATGTCTGATGGTTGGATATGCTTTAAACTTTTCGGACACTTTCCTTGTAAGTCTATGAGTAAGCTTACCAATTTTTGTTGCAATCAGAGGTGGGGAAGGATACTTAATATTTATTTGTTTGAAGAAAATTGTGCTGGCCGAAATTAGCGCTAAAAAACCATCCTACAGTCGGCAAGCGCGGCTCACTGTCGATGGCGCACTACCTAAAAATATATGGTAGCCGTTTTTTCTTTCCAGACTGGATTCCTAGTCCCTTTTTAAATTTATGTCACTGGGAAAGTAGGGCCTGTCGTGATATCATGGATCGCTTAGGTTCCACCAGGATCTGGTAGTCCTCATAATTCTGCGGCCTCTATGTATCGTCATCTCGTACAACTCTTTAAGAATCTTAGGGATTTGGCATGTGAAAATTTGCAGCCTTCCAGACATTGATTGGGTTAACGAGGTGTCGTACGTCACCTCAAGATCGGGTGACAGGGGGCTGACCAGGCCAGAACCCAATTGATTGGGTCTGAGGTCACGTGATTATGAGCCTGAGGTCACGTGACTATGACGTCACCAGACCTTGTTCTCCGTTTCCCGCTCATTGGACCAGGTGAGCTTGCATGCTTGTGAATGTGGGTGTAAGTACAGCTGTACTGTAGTTTATACCTAATTAACCCCTATAGAAACCGAAAATTTATTTTCTGGCAGAAAGCTAGAAATTTACCAAAATATCGACATTGTTATAAATTTATTTTGATGACCATTCCTGACCTAAAATTGCACGAGAAATCGATTAAACTTGGTTTCAGGACTCAACGATGCTTCTTTATGCCTTAAAATCCATGTTTTATCGATACAATCAACATTATGATCCCGTTGATTAATTAGTAACAGGTACCTAACAAATACGCAGAAACAACCATCACACCTACATTGCATTCCTAATGGGTCGATTTCGAGTGACCAATAATCGTCGTGATGATACGTCATGTGTTCCTGATCATCATCAGCAATCAAGAGACAGGAGCGGCGGTAGCTTTAAATCAATGGTTTACGTTATTTTTGTGAATTCGACCCCTGTTGAAACAGTTAGGCAAAGATAACTGTTCAATGTAGTTACAATATTATATTTATGTCAAAATTCGTGATAATGTTACGAATACATGAAATGAACATGAAATACTTGGTATGCAGCGGTTATCAATATTAAATAGGAATAATGATGTGAAGTATGTCGGGGTGTAAGGTAGTTTAATGTAGACAATCGACTGTCTGTAAAGTACAAAATACACTACACTGTACACACCCACATTGTTATAATGTACAAGGGAGGAGGGGGGGGGGGGCTCATGTTGTTTTTGTCCGTTTTTGTCCGTTCGATTTTGTCCGTTTTCAGATAATAGGGTACCGAACGGACAAAAAAGGACAAAACTTGTAACTTTGGGGGGGGGGGGGGGGGGGGGGTGTAACCCAAAAAAACCCAATCCCAGTATTACCTTTTTCAGGGTAGGAGTTGGGTTTTTTTGGTTTTTTTACAAATTTTTCATTGGAAGGAAATAAAATCATGTAAGCACCTAGCAAAACAATTATCAGTACAACATCACTGTTGTGGTTCATCACTACAACATCACAATAGATATAATCGCTTAAATATCACCCAAAAGCAGTATTTTATTCACTGATGTGCTCAGAAGAAGTTGGCCATCCAGATATGATATCAGCCATATGTAATGCTCACTTCGATGGCCATGGCAAATTGAGTTAGTAGGGACGCAACTCACTGATGACCCCAACCCTGACCGCAACCGGTACAAGAGGAATAAAGCCTTTCTTCTCACTTTCACGATCTCTGTTTCCTTTTTCCTGATCATCCGCTTAACGAGAAACCATGCTCTATTTCCAACTGAAAGAATCTTGCAGTTACCATCAGCTGCATGATCACATGTGATATTAAGTGATATCTTCGCTTGTTTATGGCCCTGGAGTTGCTCAAATCTTGACTGGGATGGCATTCGATCTCACCCTCCATTGAGGCAAACCTCAACAGCCGTATCATGATGCAGAGCATCACCATACACAGTTACTATTTTCGCCCATTCCTCTGATGAGTCAGTATCCTCCACTTCCTCTTCTTCATCATCTGTTTCCGCTTCGTCACTCTCTGCTCCGTCTAAATCTATCTTCTCCTACATTTTTGAGCAATCACCCTGAAACTTTCAGGATATGTTCTAAGGACCATTTAAAAGAGATTGTCAGGCCAGAATTTTGAGATAGGCCTTAGAACATTTTTTATTCGATTTTGAAAATCTTGGACCTCGTTTTTTTGACGATTTTTTCAGGTCCATGATTTTAAAAATTGAATAAAAACATTTCTAAGGCCCATCTCAAAATTCTAGCCCAATAATTTCTTCTAAATGGTCCTTAGAACATATCCTGAAAGTTTCAGGGTGATTGCTCAAAAAATGTAGGAGAAGATAGATTTTTAGACTCGATTTTCAGGGCGCGCGATTGAAAATCGCTCGCGCAATACAATTACACATAAGCGCTGACCTTTGACCGGCAATAATTTCGGCTAGGAACAATATTTTTCCATAATATCAAAAACAGCTGATAGACATCACTCCCCTCTATCAGAAACAACTATAAAGTCAATTTCGAGAGAATTTTGGTGAAGACCCCCCCCGGCCCCCTTAATGGAAAGCCCAGGCTCACTGTCATCACATGCTACAGTCCTACAGAAGCCTCATCTGATGAGGAGGCAGGAAATCTCTTTTGTCTAAAACCAAGCATCTTACAGTTAATTTAGTAGGAGAGGAGCCACACACAATAATTTCTAAGGACGGACATGCCTTAGAAGAAGTTGAGGATTTTAGTACAACGGAGCACGACTTTAGGTTACGCAAGGCCAAGGCATGGGCTGCCTACCACAAAATGTAGGCTATATCATGGAGGTCCAATTTGCGCCGAGATTTAAAGATCCGTCTGTTCAAGCTACGGTTGAATCAATCTTCCTGTATGGAACGAAATCGTGGACAATAACAGAATCTTTGAAGAAAAGAATAGACAGATGTTACAGTAGAATGCTTCGGATGGCCCTAAACGTGGACTGGAGAGGACATCGCACCAACAAGGAGGTCTTTGGATCACTCCCAAGAGTTATTTCGAAGATACAGGCCAGAAGAATGAGGTTGGCTGGGCACATCCAGCGACATGATGACCTGGCAGCACACCAACTTCTTCTTTGGGAACCTAGGGAGGGGTAGACCACCGCTCACCTTCGTCGATAACCTAATGAGTGACACTGGACTCAAGAACACTGGGGAGATTAAGGAGCTTATGGCGGACAGAAAGCTTTGGAGACACATCATCGAGACTCGGACTCTGAAGCCGCCTTAAGTCAAGTAATTTAAGTCATGTGCTTTGACTTGCCCTTGACCTTCGTCATAGCCTCCTTCCATGACAGGAGAACACATTTGCCACATTTCCACTTTGTGCATTCATATGGATTATATCTCGATGAACGAGACATCCTGTTTGCTATCGTGATAACATACTATCAATATAAACACACTTATATACTATGTTATATGTAAACTATCTATTAAGTTAAGACATGAGAACAACACGTAGGTAAGACTCAGTGGGAAATAATTCACATTCAATACAATTAATGAAATGGCTAGAATTTTGTTTAAATTTTGTTTAAAAAACCCAAAAAAAAACCCAAAAAAAACCCAATCCCAGTATTACCTTTTCTTGGGTTACACCCCCCCCCCCCCCCCCCAACTTTTGATTTGTAACAGGCTATCTGCAGAAATGGGTAGCACGGTTAATGACCATGGTCTTTTCCCAAACTTTCAATCCTCAATTAGGTACAAAGAATAGTCTACAGACTTTTAATAACATTTAAAAAGGAGGAGGACTGAGGAAGAAGATGAGGAGGACTGAGAAGGTATCGTACATACAAGGACTGAGGAGGATGA